TTTGGCATTTGGGTGTTTTTCATAGAAGCCCAGTTGACAGGATTGTGGCTGCTCATAAAATACGGTTTTACCCAATTTCTTCTTAAAATGGGGCACTTTTACATAATAGCATTAGCCTCATTGCTGGGGCATTTGCCAATGAAAGGAGAGACCTAGGTTCTGTTTACTCCTCAGTTTACATGGGGTCCAAACCCTCATCAGGACTATCAGACTGTTGAACTGGTGCCATTGTGTAGACGGGAATACAATATTTATGGGGACAGAGAGAATGTACAAGTGGAAACATGAGCCTATTGCCAGATATATCCGATGAAGTAGACTGTTGCCCACAAAAGCTCATGCCTCTCTGAACTTGTTAGTCTCTGCCCTAGGTTCTGCCTGATTTCATACTAAACACCTCTGTGCTCTAGATAAGGAAATAGTTAAACATGGGAAAACTTCTTTCCTCATCTATTTTGAGTGGAAATTAAACAGTTCTATTTTGACTGTTAAAGCAGAATAGAAATGAGTTTACTTGCTTTTCACTAGGTTCTCTTTTTGTGGTGTAATGCATCAGCAAGGACACATCTAGCACCGACCTCAGAAAGGCCAGTTCTTCTTAAACATTTTATTTTACAGTGTGTATCATAGTTTATGTATGGTGACAATTGCTTCTCACCATGTGAACTTTCAGACTGCTGTGCTGAGCAAAATCTGCTCAGTTTTCTTCTAAATACCCTTTTTTCTTAACATAACTCATTGCTCACACTGTGCTTACTGTAATGTGTAGATGGCTATGCCTATAGGAATGGAATAACCTCTGTCGATATCACATAAATACAGGTTAGGAATGCTAGGATTTTGAATCAGATGGAATGGGCTTCTCTCAGTGTTCATGTAGAAATAGAAGCATATTGTGGATGTATTTAAGTTTGCAATAGTTTTATTATACTATGCTTCCAAAAACATTTTCTGAAACAAGGAAATAAGAGCCTAAAGTTGGAGGAATGCACATGAGTACTATGAAGAAATATCTTTGGCTGTTTAGACAAAAGAGAAGTCGATAGAAGTTCAACAACATTGGCTCACTAAATCTCAATTACTCCGTAAGGTCCTATTAAAGCTATTATATAGTTCCAATATATATTAAAACTTATTGATGGAAATTCTATTATGTGCCTTATCGTATTACCTGGAGACTTTGTGATGAATGAAAAATAGTGTAGATATCAATCGCCTGAAAGGCGATTTCATTTCTTTTCCTCTTGGCTACATTACATAAAAGAGTGAAAGGAGAAGATGCTCATTTCAGACTAATATTATAAATAATATAATTCCAAATTCCTCAGCAGAAGCATTAAGGCCAAATTCAGACCATGTACTAGTAGATAAAAAGTAGAGTGAGCACGGATGATTGTAGCATTGTTGCTGCTATTCTAGGACTAAATTTCTCCCATTAGTGGCACATTCTGTTCTATTTTGTTCCTATGCACTTATTTTTGAGAGAAAAATTAAGTTCTTAGGTTTCCTCTCTCTGATAACAAAAGGATTTGGCAAAAACAGTCAGCAGAGGCACTTCACCTATTAGCTTTTGTCTTGAGCCCCTGTCATTTGTGTTCTGAGCTTGGTTTAAAGCTAAGCTGGCCAACTGAAATCCCTCCAGTCATTGCTGCTTCAGCCCAATGACAACATGTAGAGGGTGCACGGGGGTGCACATGCACCCCCTGAAAGCACTGGTGCACCCCCTGACAGGCCATGCTCTCCACTTAGGCGATGGGCAGGGGGGGCTGGTGGGAGTGCCAGTGGCCACTTCTGGAAGCGCCGCAGCCACTTCTAGAAGCTGGTGAGTGAGATTGTCTATGGGGTGACCCCCGCCCTGCCCAGTTGGTGAGATTGGCTGCGGGGGGACCCCCCCCGGTCGCTGACTGGTCACTGGGGCGGTATGTGCCCTCCCTGTGTAAGGCGACACCAGTCACCCATGCTTCAGCTCCTTGTACCTACAGAGGCTACATACAGAAATTCACTTTCTACTGGGAGAATCGCTGTTCTTTTGGTAGAAACCAAAAGTGTACAGGCACTCAGGCTTTTTCTCCCAGGGAAAAAATGGCTGCTCCAGGGGAAAAATATCCCCGGAGCAACCAGGGTTAAGTCACTCCTGGCAGAGTTTTTGTAGGAAGACTGGAATCACCATAGTCCTGTCCCTCACCCCTGAGAAGGAGTGGGAGGGAGGGAGCATCTCCCACCCCTCCTGTAGACCGGGAAGGGAAGCTTCTCTTCCCTGCTTCTTGCACCACAGTTCTTGTTATGAGCAGCTTTGCTGAAGAGGTTCCTCTACTTGGCTGCCAGGCACTGGAGGGTAAGCAGCAGGGAGAAGCTCATCCCCCTGCCTGCTTCTCACACTAGAGTTCTCAGCATGAGAAGCAAGCAGGGGCACCAAGAGGCTGAGCACAGGGGGTGGCAGTGTCCCCTGCCAGCTTTCCTTTGCCCCCCAGCAGAGTTGGGGGGGGGGCAGGAAGCCAGTCAGGGGCAACCAGGCGGAGGAAAGCCTCCCCAAGCCTTGCTTTATCCCCTTGGCTGCCTGCACCAGGAACAGAGCAAAGGGAGAGAGTCTGTGAGCCCTCACCTGCTTGTCACACCTGAGTCCCAGGAATAAGAAGCAGGCAGGGGGGTTGCCCTGATGCTTCCTCCACTTTGCTCCAAAAGATGGGGAGCAGAGTGGAAGAGCAGCTCTTCCAGACTAGGGAGCTTTGCCCCGCCACTCCTTTTCCAACCTGGTGAGACAGGGAGTAGCAAGGTACAGCCCACAGTCCATGGCCCCTTCCCTAAGCCAGGGAAGTTCCTGGCTTGAGGAAGGGGCTGAAGGCATGCCTCAAGGCTCCCTATCCCTCTCACACCAGTCAGAGAGGGGAGAGGAGAGGAGTACCTGCTACTGACCCCTGCCTCTTCCCATGGTAGGACACTGCCCTGCTTCAGGTAGGGGCTGGGGGCTTTGCCCCATGCTCTCTCTGCTCCAGTCCCAGAGACAGGGAGCAGAGTGAAGGAGGCAAATCCTTGTTGTTCCTCAGAGCCCAGTTGGGGCAGGTGTAGAGACTCTTTCCCCCTTGCTCCACAGCCCCCTGCAGAGTGGAAGTAGTGGAGTAGGCATTGCTCTGCTCACCTTGCCCACACTAGAACCAGCCTGGTTTTGGAAGGCACAGAGAGAAGGGGAGAGGGAGCAGCTACAAAGTGAATGTCTGTACAGCTCCCTCTCCTACAAAGATTTCTGTTGGGGGAAATTTCTGAGAAATGTTCCCTAATGGAAAAACATCTGTACTCAGTCAGGGTTGAATCTGGTTCTTTGGATTTGATTCTCTTCTCATTTACACCAGTTTACATTGGCATAACTAATGACATGCATAACATTTCTCCTAATTGATAGCATTCTTAGTTAAAGGAGAATCTGTTTTCTCACAATTTTTATTAGGAACCCAAGGTGGAACAGCTTAAAACACTTTTTCAAATCTTTATTTTTGTAAAACATTTTAGACTAAACTCCATGTTATAGCTGAAGCTTTCTTGCATGGCTCTCACCACTGACAATTTGGGGATAATTATAATTATTCAAATAGACCATGAAGAGCTTCTAAAAAAATTCTAGCAGTGAACTGAACATTTCATTCTCATTAAGATTGCTAAATTAAACACGTGGATTTTAGAAGAGGACAATGAAGGGCTAATTTCCATATCATAAAAATGGAAGTCTATAAAGACTTGGGGATGTTACTAGTTAAGAAAACTACCCATTTCTGAATCCCTCCAGGATTGCTTACATCTAGATTTGAACTGATTGGAAGTGAAATTATGTTGATGACAATAGATAGCTCGATGTAACAAAACTCACCACAAAAACTGGCAGAATTAATTTGTCTGCCTCGTATCAGCTCAAAAGAATCAGTCAGATTACAAATGCAGGTGGCATAATTATGAGAAGAACCTAGCAAAACTGTCCAGATTTAGCTGTGCTATAAATGGCTAACCTTTGTAAGGACTGGTATAAGCTTCACATTTTTAAATGTCTCAAATGAAAAAAAGATTCAAAACACCTAGGCTATTTCCAGCATGCCTTAATATAGGACTGTTAAATCTGTTTATTCTTCCAGTATCTATAATATGACTAATGGTTTTGTTTTTATAATTTAAATTTAAAAGTCAGGTTTCTGGACTGTGGAAAGCCATCAATTCATATATGACTCAAACTTTTCACACTTTGGATTGTCTTCTGTATTTTTGCTGCTATTGTTAAAACTAGACCTGTATTCCTGTATAACCCAACAGATGCAGTGCTTAAAGATGGTTTTGTAGGGAATGCTACCTGTCAGCATACAATAGAACTAAAGACTCACAATCAGAGTGGCAGACAGCTATCTTAAAAAATCCTATAAAGTAAATCTTCCTCCATTTTAAAATGTACCATCTTTCTTTTCTCTGGAAGATTTTTTTTTTTGTATTTGGTCTGTGAGTATGAAATTACCCTGTATACTACCTATTCAGTCTATGTAGTTACACTGGTGAGAGATTGGAGAAATGCTGTCTGTATTTTTCCTAACTCACATGTGCACGTACACATGCATGCACACGTACACAGATGCATTGCATATATATCTTACTTATGCCAATTAAATGGCATTCAAACTGAAGCACATCTATCAAATATTCAAGGTGTATTTGCTTAGTACATAAACAGTTAAGTGTTTTTGTTCTAGAGCCAGAGAATGTGAGTGCATTATGTCATTAATGAAAATATTAAGAAAAATTGTAAAATGAAGGGCTTACTTTACATAAAGGTTATGGGTTCTGCCTTGACAAATGGAATTTAATAATCCTGGTTTGAAATATACTTCTATCTGGACAAGTTCTTTTACAATAGATGTAAATATAGCTAGTGGAGAATAAAATTAATAAAAGTGAAAGGAAAATTCTAAACAGGGATTTGGTTCCTCTTGAGTGTTTGACCTTGTTTGCTGAGTTCAGGACAGCATTACCGTTACTCCCAATCTGAAATTAACTCCATCCATCTCTACATAGGAGAATGTCTGCAGAGTTGTGTCACGATGAATCTGTTCTTTCATGCTGGATGCAGAATGGCGTGACCAGACCACCACGTAGTGCAAAGGCTGAGTTGAGGAAGGATGGCTGTAAGCACACTTGAGATGGACATTGCCTCTCACAAGCTCAGCAGTAATCCCTGGTTGCAAAATCAGGGCTGGGAATTTTTCTGGAAAAAGAAGTGATATGCTGCAGACATTGATAGTAGCCTATTTCTTCCTTAATCACGTAAATATGAACATTGTGAAATGTTAAAGAAACATTGCATTGCATATATCTGTAAGGGCCTTGCGACATGGTAAGTTTAAGCATCTTCTAGAGCTCTTAACCCCTGGATTTGCTGCACATTAACACCTTTAGGTGGTTTAAAGCACTCATGGTTTGGCTTAAAGCTACACCACTCCAGGGCAGAATTACCTCTAATCCACCTAATTTTGCTGCTGTTCTATTATGGTGTGGCCACTCCCTACAGCAGTTTCACCCAAGATGAAGCTCTCCAGCATCCCAGGATGCAATGGCCCTTTCTGAATGGGGATGCTGGGGCACAACAGGCCAGGCATGGTGCCTCGCCCCCTGGGGACATCAGACAGAATGAACGCCGCAGCTCTTGAGCACCTGGCAGCTGTGGTGCCTCCTGCTATTGCCTGGACTGACTCCCTGCTTGAGATCTGAGAGGTCCAATCCTTTTTTTTTCCTCTGGAGCTCTAGCAGTAAGCCAGTCTGGGTAGTGACAGGAGGCACCGCAGCCACTGCGCGCCCCAGGGCAGTGGCCTTTGTTTTGCCTGGGCTGGAGCAGCAAACTGGTCCTGTCCCTGCTCACCAGGCCTATAGTGGCAAGTCATAGCTGTGCAGGTGATGGACAGCCAGAGACAGTTTTCCACCTTAAGGTAAGGTTTTTCCACCTTAAGTTGATGGACTCCACTCAGTCAGTCAACATTTAGCTGATTAACATTTGCACGGGTTTCAGCATAAAGTGTAACAAGACCCTAATTCAATTGTTTTATTATATAAGAAGCAAAAAAATAAAAATAAAATAGAATAAAAAGCAAGAATGTAGGTAATCTGTTCAAAAATACTAACCCCATTTGTCCAGGACTGTATACATAGAAGAACATGTTTTAGAAACAAAGTATGCAACACATTTGGTGCTAGATAATGTCAATATTATTACCCTGGCAAATTCCTTCACCTTCAGATTCCCCAGGAGCACAGACTTTTGGTTTTAACTCTGCAACAAAAATAGAAGAGATACAAGAAGTCAGTATGCTGCAGTGATGACAAAGTGATACCCTGTTGACCCATAAATAATCTCTAAGTCATTGCTCATGGAATGAACAGCATTTCCACGTTCTTTGAGGCTGTATGTGGCATGTGTTGTGGTAGACTGACTGGCAAGGAACATGTTAGATTCCTAGATAGCTTCTTTTCTCCAAGCTCTGAGTAGCTACTAGTACTCTAAAAATACGTCTTGCTTCCTCTATGCTTCAACAAATAATTTGATTTCAATTTTCTCCCTAAAATTTAAGAGATATAATAATAATATTGCACTGTATTTCACTGTCCTTTGAACTCTAGGGCCACATCCAGAAAAGCGTGGCTGTGCAGCATGTGATGCTGCAGACCTGTCTGTGGTGCCACACACTGCATATTTAGGTGTAGCAATAGGGGGTGAGGGGGTTGACTCTAGGAGATCCTGGGGTAAAAAAAAAAAAATGCACACAGAAAAAGACCAGGGTAGTTCACATGGTGGCACTGCGCACTGTCCAAAATTGGAGCCTGGCTGGTTGAAGCTGTGCTCTGGCTGCCGGCTAGGCTCCTGGCTGCTGGAGCGCTATGGCTGAAGCTCCCTGAGACCCCTATGACCCTAGGTAAGGCTACTGGGGCCAGCCTCCCCTACCCCACCTGGGGTAACCTGTCATGCGCCACAAGGTGTGTTGCCACTTTTTGTCCCTAGGGAAACAAATGTCTGCACTCAGGTAGATGCAGCCTAGAGGTCTAAGTTCAAATGGAACACAGAACTGGTTCAGGTTCTTTGAAGGAATAAATTAATGAGCTTTCTGGAAGAATACAGAAAATGTTATTAATGCCCAAAAGAATAAACCATAAGGCAGTTTTATCAGAATGAAGAATGTACATGTTAATGTCTATTTAGGACAAATAGCAATAAGGTAGGAAGATGGAAAAATAGTTTTTCAAAATAGGGAATACATGGATATTGTTTGTATTTATTATATTCTTAGGAAAATTGCTTCAAACTATGGCTCAGATCATGACTTCCTCCAGAAAATCACACAAGAAGGGCAAAATTAGGTAATCAACTTGCAGAAGCATCTGAGCAAGATTTGTTATGCACACATACACATAGTCACTCATATCACTTCCCCAGATCTGATCTCTTTCTGATGCTCAAACTCCAAATGCATGAAGGTTTTGGAGTTTTTCATATTGAATATGGGAGAATTTTGCCTCTAAGGCACTTAGGCATGAGACTTTTAGAGCCAGAGGCTATGTTATTGAGGGGCTCATGTGGTAATTACTTACAATTTAGATATTGAAGAAAGATTAACTCTGTGAGACCCCTTGGCTGTGAGTGGTTTCTGAACAGCACATGGTACCAGGAGTCAAAGAAACCAAGAAAATATCCTAAATAATGACACGGTTGACAGTTCCAGCAAAAAGGAAAGTTCTTTTGTTTCTGACAATAGCTGGTTTTGAAGAACTTGAAAATTGAATAATGTTCAGTTAACATGGGAACAAAATTTGATGAAGCTTCCCTGAGGGTATCTCCTGCTCTACTTGGAAGATCCATTCTGACATGGTTGAGAGTCAAGGCAGATGCTTCCTTATGGGGTATGTACAAACGTTACTTTTAGATTGATCTAACCGAGGTTAGATCAATCTAAATACCTGGCCATGCAGGCATTCACAGAGCTTAAATCATCTTGAAAATGGTGCACCTGATTTAAATTAGTTCACCTCAGAAGGTGAATTAGTATTAGACCGGCCTGGGTTAACATGATATAAATGGGTTAACCTAGCCGAACAACTGCCTGCATTCATCACAGCCTATCCCCAAGGATGAAGTCCAACCACTCACCTCAGCCCCCATTCTATGCTGTTTTAACCCCCACCCCACACCTTCCCATTGACCCACAAGCCCTGCTAGACCTGCCCCCCCCCCAGTCCTGCCAAGCCTTGCCTCCCAATTTATGTCTGACTGCGTGGGTAAATGCTTGCATGCGTAACCTGAGTTGGGTGATTCAAATGCTTGTTTGCACCCATGGGACTACACTGCCTCATTCCAGGGTTTAGTACATGAGGAGCAAGGACAGAAGGGCTAGACATGCTGCCAAAGTGGCGTAGATGTGATATTTAATAGATCGATTCAAAGTAAGTATTGCAAATTCTGTATTAGGTTAATGTTGTTAGTTAATGGTCTATATGTTGTCATGAAAGTATGGAGAAATGTACAAGAGCATATGCACTGCAGTGGACCTCTGTAAGAGTCCTTCACTCTGAGTCATTGCTGAGTAGCATAAGTTACTCTGCATCAGGTCTAGTCTGTTCATGAAGAGGATACGTGACATACCAAGCGACACTAAAACTCTGAAGTTAAGCCCCTGGGCAGCTTTGTAAGTCATTATTCAACTTTTTGAAACTTCATCTATGATATCAGGGAGCACAATGGGGGTATTACTCATACAGTTCCTTCATGGTCCAGTTTTTCACTCAGGAACTTTGATTGGTGGGTTTTAAATTCTCTTTGTTGGAGAAGACTGTCCCAATGCTGGAAACACTCCCTTTTACATTTAACAGAGAGTGAAATGCAGGTGCCAGTACTTGCTGTGGTTGCATACTTGACCCAGATATGAGATGCCAAACCTCAGTAGTGTATGTAGGGATAAAATATTAAATCTGTAGCCTAGAGGAAAAGTAGAATATAGAGTTTTTCTCCCAACTAAAAAGTGGGATGCTCACTCTGAAGAGCCAGAGCTTATGTTGGACCTTGCTTGACAGAAAGGCTGGGAAAGTTTATAAAGATTATTGACATTTTCAGCTGGAAAAAAAAATAAATATTTTTTTTCCAGAAAAAATGTGATAGAATTGTCACTTCTTAGAAACAATCCAGATGATTTAAACATATTTTAATCTAAAATTTTCATTTCATGCTTATGGGGAAATTCCTACTTTCCTTTAGTTTTTTTATTTCTTCTTTTTTTCATTTTTTGAATGGAAAGTTTACAATATTCAAGAAATGGAGAAAGAAATCCTTTTTTTGCCTTGGGAGGTAAAAAAATCCCATGGGTTTCTTTCCCCATTTTTCCTCAACTTTTGTTTGGAAAACTTAAAAAGTGAGAGACAGGAAAAAGATGAAAAAGCAACATTTCAATGGAATGAAACAAATTTCCAAATACAACTTGGAAATCACTTCATTTATAGAATTCAGTTTTGATTTGTTAATTTTAAAACAGAAAAAATGAACTATTTAAGAAAGACAAAATCTGTATATTTATTTCAAAATAGCTCTCTAACAGCATGAATTGCTCTTTCAAAACATTTTTCCTAAGGGAAATGTGGTAACGAGTTTCTTAGTGTGTCATGTCCATGTCCACATCTGAAAATAAAGATATGTTTTTCTTTAAGAAAGAGCTCTTCCTTTTAACTGAATCTATACGCACCTGAACAGTCAGAGTTCAGAAGGTTTAACTGAGTGAATAATTTCTTTCTGCTATTTCTTTGTTTCCTAGTTACAGAACAGAGGTTGGATCTTTTGTAGTAGGCTAGCAATTATTTCTGACTAGAGTAATTTTATAAATGCTATGACAATCTGTAATCAGATTTGCTTTCCCTTCCAAGGCTTCAAAATGATCCTTCTGTATGGGGATATTTAAGATAAGAGCAAACCTTAGATATGGTACCTCAAAAACAAACTAGCTAGTTTTACATCTTCAAGACACAGCAATGACAAAGACGATAGTAAAGGTTACATGTGAACTGCAGCCAAGCTAAGAACACTTCAGTTTATACATACCAGATTACATTTTGCACTGGCAATAATAGCTGTGCTTCAGAAACAGCTTGGACTAAGGCTGATTTATTTGCTACATAGACTGCACCTTACTTGAAGTAATACTTGACTTGCAAGGTCAGTAAGATGTGTATTTCAATACCAGGACCTTTGAACACAGAGCAGAAGAGGCATATACAGTCTTACTGATAAATTCATTCTTTACTAAACCTACCTTCTGCACAATAACCCATGCATCCCTGAGTGGGCTGCAAAAGATAAACAAAGAATCCACCGCAGTTTCTAACTGAAATAGGTATTCGGAACAAGCAGCAGTCTTTGGTGCTCCCAAAGAAGAATTGCCACGTAGCGCAGGCCATGAGCTGCTTTCTTTCACCAGGAAGAGGGAGGGTATCTGATTTCAGGGAAAGCCACACTGGAGCTTGTGTTCCACATTTATTCATCTGAGGATGAGCATAAAAGGAGTCATTTCCAGCACTCTGGATATAATCACTTAAAACAGACATGTTTGTTTACTAAAAATAGGAGTTCAGGGCAGAGGGAAAAAAAAAGTACATTTCATTGAAAAGGGAAGGTCAGTTTAGCCATGTATCATTTCTATATCCCGTTGCTACCTGTAAGCTCAGAAATATCTTATACTCCTATTTATGTGTCTACGAAAGAGTTGACGGGGCTTTAAATGGAGCCAAAGAGCTGGATTTGCTGGTCTGTCCGAGTTCATTTCATGCCAAGTAAACTGTGAGACAAAACCTTTTCCCCAGCATAATGGAATGCCTTTTAGGGAAGGATTGAGGGCAGGGATGGGGGTGTAGAGAGACCACGACAGGACAGAGTTCTACCATACCTGATCCCTTGCTGCTTTGGATCTTACACCAACAGCAGGGTTTGAATACGTTGCTTCTGCTCTGACTGCCGTTGAATCCCTGCAGTCTTCATTGTGTACAATGCCAGAGAACTGGAGCAGGGATAGATACAGCAGGGTGCCTTTTTTTCTTTGAGTATTCAATGGGTTTATGAGTAAATTAAATGCATCGGGTATGGGAAGTATTGAACAAGGAAACTAGAAAGTATATGTTGAAACAGGGCGGTGGGCCCTGTAGTATATGCATGTAACATGATACATTTCTTGGGGCCCTTTTAGAATTGAAAGCCGTAGACCTGGAGAGATGACTAGGAGCAAAAATATCACTTAAGGAAACTTACGAGAAGAAAGACTCAAGGCAGGGCAAGTCACAGAGGGAATGCTATCATGGGAGCCAGGGAGGGATTTTGAAAGGTAAAGTGTTTCCTTTGTATACCTAGCTGATAAGAAGGTCTTGTTGCTGGATAATATTCAATACTTTGAATTTATTTGTTCTGGCTTTGATGGTCACCTCCCCCCTTCTTTTTCCT